ACCTGAACTGAAATCAAGAGTTGGCTGCTTAACCAAGTGAGCCATCCAGGCACCCCAGGAAGGAAATTATTAAACTGAGCCTAATCAATTATTAAATTAAATCTTAGGTTATTTTAAATTTAGTACAGGAAAAAATCATCTAGATCTGAGCTGTCCAATATGGTAGCCACTAGCTATACACAGCTATTTATAATTAAAATTAAAATTCAGTTCCTCAGGTGCACTAGCCACTGTAAAGTGCTCAATAGGCACATGTGGCTAGTGGCTACCTCGCTGGACAGCAAAGAATAGAACACTTCCATCACTGAAAGTTCTATTATACAGTGAATAATTAGACCTTCAATTTTTCCTTTGACCTTTTTCAGGAGAGTCAATAAAAAGAGCAACTCAGAAGACCTGAAATTTCCAAATCAGTCACTAACCAGCTAAGCAATTAAGTATGCATCATTTAGCAGCGCTTCTAGAAATGAATGTGCATTTGAATCACCTGAGAATCCTGTGAAAAGGTAGATTCTAATTCAGTAGGTAGTGGGATGGGGTCAAGAATTCTGCACTAACAAATCCTTGGGTGACGTTACTACTGCTGGTTCAGAAATAATACTTTGAGTATTAGGATGTTAGTTCTCTCTGGGCCTCGGTTTCCTCAGCTATCATTTACCTGGGGTAAGATAATGGCCATGACCCCTCTGAAAACATTAATATTTTATAGTTTGTACAGAACTAAATGCAGAGATTTCACTCTCAGCAGAGGAAGTTTCTTCCCTCAAGTACTCTAGCAACCAACTTTTGTGCTACCATTTCTTCCCACGAAATGACATACTAAATTGAAATGAAAATCAATGGAAAAATCTGATTTGCCGTATAAACATTCCATCTCTGTACAACTCTAAATCCTTAAATAGATTTAAAGGGCTGACGTTTATGAAAGACAAACTTTTTAAGAACCATCAGCGGGACACACTATATTTTCTAAATACATAGCTTATGGAAGAAAAAAAATGATGGCTGGACTCAGCCCATACCACTGTAACCTTAAAAGCATCAGCTCCACATGAAAAACAACTCCCTGGAAAAAGCCATTAACTGCAATAACATTACATTGTTTTGTTTTTGTAAAGTTTTAGTCCGGTCTCTGAGCAAGAATACTGACCAAAATCCCCATACCAGGAGCAAGCTACAGAGTAGCACCCCACAAAACCCAGCGAAGGAGCTGATAGGGGCATCCAACAAGGCCACAAAGGACTTACTTTTTAGACATCTATTTTAACTGGAGCCGTAGAGTAACACATGGTTCAAATGGGCAATGTGCACAATCAACTGGACCACAGTGGTGTAGCTCACCATTTCATAAGGATCTCATAGAAAGGATACGGGCTAAGATACCCATTTTGTTCATAAATTCTGAATTATGCATGACAGGTAATTACTTATGCTCTTAAAAAAAAAAAAAAACTGGGGGGCGCACTCGGTTAAGCATCTGACTCTTGATCTCAGCTCAGGTCATGATCTCAGATGAGTTTGAGGCCCACATCGGGGCATGGAGCCTGCTTAGGATTCTGTCTTTCCCGCGCTCTCTGCTCCACCCTGCTTGTGCTCTAAATTTAAAAAAAAAAAAAACGAAAAAAACAAAAAAAAAAACCCTGGAAATGCATGTTCAACCTCTAGGTGATAGGATGTCTTGAAAATCTACAATACTCTTTTACATTTGTATTTTTATATTTCCTTTAGGAGGAAATATAAAGTTTAAATTAAACTTTATTAAACTTCTATATAAATCATGCAAGGATCTTCCAAAATCTTTCCAAAGATTTAATTCGTATTAACGATACACTTCACTACCTACAACTCTTCAAATAAATTCACTTTGAGATGAAAACCTAGGGGATGGGTAGTTTTTTCTTCTCATTTTTAAAACAAATTGCTATTCTCAACCTTTTTACCCCTCAATCTTATTTTAAGCCAATCTGCTAAGTGGTGGCTTTAAAAAATCCGTCAAAATATATTACCAGATTTCAGTTTGAGTCCTAAATTTGGAAACTTACTTTCTGCTTTTCTTTAAAAAAGACTGATGGGGGGGCACCTGGCTGTCTCAGTTAGTGGAGCATGGGGCTCGTGACCTCAGCGTTGTGAGTTCAAGCCCCACAATGGGTGTAGAGACTACTTAAAAATTAAAAAAACAATAGACTTGGGAAAAAAAAGGGACTGATGAAAAAGTGCCTATAATAATACATACACAAGTTGTCTTTATTAAAACAGAAAAATCATGTAGATCAGGAGAAAACACTATGTATAATTCTATCAGAGTGAAATGCTCATGTCCAGAGCTATATTTCCGATTAATATTTCTGCACCTTTATAACACTTAAAATTTCTAGATATTAAAGATAACTTTTACATTACCAATGAGAACATAAGGTTAATTTCTACCCACACCATAAAAGTTATGTCTTTTTAAAATAGTCCTTAACAAATCTTTCTTAATTATAAAGAAAGAACTGCGAGTATCAAACATTTAATGGTAGCAACTGACCAGCAATTTATATTACCTTTCCTCTCAACAAATGTTATAAAATTCCACCTGTAGGTTATATGATCTTTCAAAACACAATTTAAGAAGCCATTACTCTTAGAGAAACTGTGGCTCCTCTTGAGAGAATTATGATGTGGACAGAAACATTTTAGCCCTATCATTTGAAAAAATACAGTGTATAAAAAAAAGGGCCACGTAGCAGTCCGTGGGCAGTATGAGTCATCACCCAACTCAAAACTTGCCACACTTCTAAGCTTCCTCCTACCAGACCCCATCCCCTTCAGTAATGTACCACCCTGAGTCAGCAAACCTTACTATTTTGTCAGTTATGAATTCTCACGATGCTTAAATGAACTTATGGAAAACACTGCAACACATTTAGTACTAACACTTGTCATCAGAACATGTGCTGTTTCTATCGCAAAATTAACTCATCTTCAGATCTTCTTTAGATTCTTTCTTAATCACAAAGAGTAGCCAAACGCTACGTTTAATCCTCTCCTGCAAGTAACCAAACTACAAAATATGATCATATATAAACGTTTTTATAAACAATTCCCTATTTCCCAGAGATTTTTTTTCTTAACAGAAACCTCTAAATATTAAATCATGTCCTGCTCAAATCTGGCATATTTCCTAGACGGCTGCAATTGCTGAATTTAGAACACCAATAAGCAATTTTACAAGTTTCACCAGACAATTCTTACTAAGTGATGTAACATATATATGTGAAAGGACTTTACACTCCTGCCACATAGCAAGCAAGCCGTTCATAAGCGTGTCTGAACAACTACTCACTCGTCATAGATGTTAGAGATTCTTCCACCCAATTCAAAATTACTTTTCACACATTAAAATCTGACATTTCTAAGAAGAAACTCTAGAAGCTGTTCCTTTTCAGGGCCAGGCCCCTGTTTGGACCCTACATTCTTCCTGTCAGATTACTCTTTCCATCTCCGTTTCCCAACGTTGAAGAAAGAGAATATGTCCAATCAGAACTTTAAAACATAAGAAGACTAGAAGAATGAAGCAATCAGAAAATTACTCTGAAGCTGTTTGAGCTCCATTTTGTCCCCCGTTATTTTTTTCCCTTGACACATCATCTTGTATCGTTAAAAAAAGTTAATACTTTTAAGAGCATTGAAGAAAACACCATGAATTCTGCTGCAAACGCAGTAAGACTTCTAATTTCACCACTTCACCGGATCTTTGCCAATGAGCAAGCAAAAGAAAAAATAAAACAGAAAAGGAATCAAAAAGATCCTGCCTCACAGAGCTCCCACATAACACCTGAACCAGTTGAGTCTCACTAAGCCCAAGAACAAAGGAGGCCAAAAGACCTTTACTTTTCAACGCACCTCACCAAGTCAGATAAAAACGCACAACCAAGTGAAGAGGCCCTTTTCAGTGAACTGACAAAACAAGTTTCCATTTGGGTACTTTCACAGACCAAAGCTCCCAAGTCCCGAACGCAGCTAAGAAAGGCTGCAGTAGGGCGGGGACGGGGAGTGGGGAGAGAGAAATTAGGAATTCCGACTCAGACAAGTTTTCTGTACCTCATTTACAGCTAAGACTCAGAACTTGGGCAGAGGACTTCGGGACTCTGAGACCAGCCGGGTGAGCGGTGCGCGCTACGCAATTCGCCGAGTCCACTGGAGACTTTGCCCGGCCGGAGTCAGCTGAGGCCGAGTCACCGGAGTGGGATGGGGGAGGAGACGCGGGAGCATTCTGAAGGCAGCGTGCCAGGAAGGCGAGACTCCGCGCCACCTCACGCTCCCCGGGCCGTCCCTCCCGGCCGCCGCCCCTCGCCCGCCGGCCGCCGCCCGGGGCGGGCTTCGAACCCGCCGAGCTGGGCGCGGGCGGCGGTGCCGCAGCGGAGCAGCTGGGCCCCGGAGCCGCCGGGCGCGGCACGGCACGGCCAGGCGGCCGGCGAGGGGCGTGCCGGGTGGGAGGGGCGCGCCGGCCGCTCTGCCGGCCCCACGCGGGGACCCCGGCCCGCCCGCCCGCGCGGGGAAGCGCCGGCCAGGCCCAAGCGGGCGGGCCGGCGGGCGGGCGGGCCGGAGACGGAACAAAAGCGCCTTTGTTGAGCGGCGGCCGCCGGAGGGTCACACACAATGGAGGAGGGAGCCGGCTCCGCCGCCGCCGCCGCCGCCGGGCCCGCCGCGGCGCCCTCCCTAGCCGCCCCGCCGGCGCGCCCCGCACACGACACACACACTCACGGGACTTCTCCGGCTCATCGAGGGAGTGCGGGGCCCGCGGACAGCCCCCAATGTCGGCTCAGGTCTCCGGCTGTGGTGGCGGCAGCGGCGTCTCCGAGGCTCTCGCTTTGCCGCAGTCGCCGCCATGTAACCCCGACCCGCGAGAGAGGGCGAGGGAGAGGGGGCGGGGTATCCATGAGCAACGCCCCCTCGCGTCACAGGCTCACTCCACGGGTTCCCCCGCCTCCGCTCGGCCCCGAGCGCTTCACGCGCCGGAATTTCCAACGCTGGTGACTGGGTTCCGGGCGCTGCGGGGGCGGCGGGAGAGGCACGCGATCTCATCAGCCGCCTCAGGTGGGCTGGGCTGGGGGCTGGCTGGGAGGTGGGCAGACGGGCCCTCTGTCCTCTTCCCTTGCCACATCTCCACAGCACAAAGTGACTAAACTCCTTGCTAGTGTTTATTGCGCACCTACAACGGGCAAGCCACTGGGCCGTCCATGGAGTGAGCCTTCGTCCATGTGCTTAGGGATGGGCCTTGAAGATGGGTTGGCTAGAAGGCAGCAGCCAATGTGCGAGACCAACGCAGTTAGCGGCCAAAAGCTAAGAAGGTCATTAATTCTGCCTTAGGGTATGAAGGAGGGCTTCTCAGTGAGGTCGTCACGGTGATCTTTCAGCTGGATCTGGAGAAACAGATGTAACCAGAGTAGGCGCGGGGGAGGGTGTTGAGGAAGGAACAGTGAGAACGAAAACAGGAAAGGTGATAAGAGTTTTCACCTTCAACAACAAGCACCTGGCTTGTTGCTGCGCTTTGGACTAGGCCTGAATCAGAATTTGGGAAGGGATGTACTGTGCGAGGTAATGGAAAATGTAGATTGGTGCCTTCTCGGGACTACTTGGATGAAAGCAAACTTAATTTTGTTTACCACGACTTACTTGGTTCAAGGATCCTTCCCAGCATTTATGGGAAATTTATGTAGGTATTTATCAGAGACGCGGGTCAGCATATTTTTTCAATGACTTAATCAGTCCTGATGAGAACCAAACGTTTGGCAACTCCTTATCCATTTTTATGCACATCTTCAAGCTTGGGGCAAATAACCGCTTTAAAGATTATATAGTAGCTTGAAGTTAAGTGGTTGGGTTGGAGCTTGAATATTCTATATTTTTTATATTTAAAACAGTATCATGTCAGTACCAGGTGTGAAGAGGTAGAGCACAGAAAACCAAGAAAAAGGGGAGGCCTGTTCCAACAACAAGAGTTCTAATTTGTGGATGCAGCCCCTCTGCAACAAGAGCTCTTTACCTGTGACCGGTTTACATCCCTACTGCCCTGGCAATCGGATACTGTAAGATCCCTGAGACACCCTTCCTTCCTTGTCCATCAATGTTTGATCACCAGCAGGAGGTAGGAGGAAAAGAAATACTGTGTTTTCCCTTGAGAGCTTATAATGTAGTATCAGCTCCTGAGTTCCAGCAAAGACCACCAAAAGAACCTGTTGATCAAACCAAGTTTATTGCTCACAACAGTAAGTGATAACACTATGCTGACAGTCTTAACAGCTCGAAGAGGGAGGTCATGTATAGAATAGTTCTAAGATTCAGGGTATCTGGTTTAAGACCAGTCTTTCAATGAAAGCATGAGAGAGACTGGGCTGAATTTATAATATCATTTAGGACGATTACAGGGAGAAGAAAGTTTTGAAGCGAGCCAGAAGAGTAAACAATTGTTTGACGAATCCAAAGATAATCTGTTGAGGAGCAGCCTGTTTATCCTGATGAAGGCTTGGTCAGTCAATAGTCTGTTGTTCAGATAAATAGACTTTGAGGAAGTTCCTGAAACTGCAGTTAAGTTATTTGCAACTTCATCTTCTTGGGCAAGAATTTCTTGGAATTGAAGTCATGTTTCTGTGAATGGTGGAGTTGTAAAGGCATGTTAATGTCAGTCTTAGATCTTAATCCTATTGTGTGGCTGTAAATAGTTTCAATTCTAAGTAGTCTTTCAAACTGAAGGTTACGATCCAGTAGTGAGTAGTGAAGTGATTTTGGTGGATCATGGTCTGCATTTTTTCTTAAGGAAATAGAGCAAAATACTAGAGAGCATTGCCCATAATAAAGGGTAAATATTGCTTTGTGAGACTTATGTTTCCGTTATGTACGATATTTCAACAAATCTGAAATGTCATTAATCATGACATGCCATAATTTTATGTACTATTAAGAAAGTGAAAACAACAAAAATAAGTGAAAACTCATCAAAATATGATACTCTATTGCTGCATCCTGGTTTCAGAAATATTAACATAGAAGACCTATTTTTTTTTTTTAATTTTTGTTTTTGAGAGAGAGAGACAGAGAACGGAGACACAGAATCAGGAGTAGGCTCAAAGCTCTGAGCTGTCAGCACAGAGCCCGACAAGGGGCTCGAACCCATGAACCATGAGATAATGACCTGAGCTGAAGTCGGACACTTAACCAGCTAAGCCACCCAAGCGCCCCTAGAAGACTTCTTTCTTAAAATTGATGAAATAAAATATATAGAAATGAGCCAATTGGATAACAATGTAAAATGCATTTCTGCATATCTCTCATTATTGCTATGAACTATGCTATTGTTAGAAGAGTCTGAAAGTCACTGTTGTAGTGGAGTCATGCAGGAGAGATCGAGTAAGTACACCATAAAGCAGCATGAGATGATTCCTTCCGGAGCAGAAATGCAAATTACCTGCCCTTATTGGAAGGAACAATTAATGAGAACATCAGGAAAGCTTCAACTGGAAGAGGGAATATCTGAGCCTGGGCTTGATTCCATCAGGAAGGATCAGGAAAAAAATTTTCTGAATGAGAGAGCAAAATGTACAAAGGCATGAATGTGCCAGACACACTTTGGAAGTAGAAGAAATCTGACAGGCCTAGAGGAATGAAGACAAGTTAGCACCAGACTGAGAAGGCCTTGATTGGATGCCAAAACTTATGGATTTATGTTAAAGGCAGGAGAAGCATTTAGATGATACAACTAGTACTTTAGAAAGATAATTCTGACATAAATGGGAAGGGTAGGTTAGATGAATGAGAAATTAGAGACAGGGAGAGGGTAGGAGAATCCATTGCTTTTTCTGCCCTGCATCCTTAATCTGGTAATAATATTCTGGTGTCCTCTGAGAGCCACCCTTTCTTCGGTAAGTCAGAATTCTGTCACAGTGATGGAAACCTCAATCCAAACTCTGGTTTAAACAGTAGAGAAAAAGAAAGGGAAAGAATGTGTCTAGTGGGCACAGACAGGGAATGACAATACAAGCGATATTCTTGGGGCAGAATCCGCTGGACTTGGTGAATGCTTAGATGAGTGATGCTTAGGTAAGTCTTGTCACCCAGTTGTCCTCACTTCACCTCTTTGAATTTAAATTCCCTCATTAGGCTGCTTGTTTTATCTTTTTCCAATTCAATTACTATCTTCCTATTAAGATAAATTGCCAGTATTGTGATTTGCAAGACGGAGGGAAAAACAGATTTTGAAAATACAGACCACTAAGCTTAATGCCAATCCCTGGAAATTTCCTAATATAAATCACAGAACACATTAGTGTTAGGGAAAATGTAACCATTAGTAGGAGTCACGGAGTCTTTTCAAGTAAATCATTACAAAGACATACCACTTCCTTTCTTGATAGGATTATTACATTATTGAACAAATATGTTGGTCATTTCAAAAAGTCAAGACACCTTTAGGTTGGGATGAAGAGATATGGGCTTATATTATTGCAGAGATAGGTTGATGGAAATAATGTTGATTAATGGAGTAACACAAATCTTGAAGCATTGCGTTCTCAAAAACAGCAATACAGGTTTTTCTTTCCCTTTTGCCCAGTCCTGAGTAATGTTTTTGTCAATGTTTGGAGTTAACGATACTTAGCAAATTTAAGAACTCAGATCAGAATATGATAGACTACAATGTAATTACTCAAGATCATGGTTTTTACAGAGATGACGTTTAACTGTAGTAAAGTATACAATCTTTGTTCAGAAAAGTCATTTGGAAGCAAATCAGAGAACTCTCGATGCTGGAGAGGATGTGGAGCAACGGGCACCCTCCTACACTGTTGGTGGGAATGTAAACTGGTGCAGCCCCTCTGGAAAACAGTGTGGAGGTTCCTCAAAAAATTAACAATAGAACTCCCCTATGACCCAGCAATAGCACTGCTAGGAATTTACCCAAGGGATATAAGAATGTTGATGCCTTGTACATGTACATGTACCCCAATGTTCATAGCAGCACTCTCAACAATAACCAAAACATGGAAAGAGCCGAAGTGTCCATCAACGGATGAATGGATCAAGAAGATGTGGTTTATATATACGATGGAATACTATATGGCAATGAGAAAGAATGAAATCTGGCCATGCGTAGCAACATGGATGGACCTTGAGGGTGTTATGCTGAGTGAAGTAAGTCAGGCAGAGAAGGACAAATACTATGTTTGCACGGATTAGGAGGAACTTAACAGAGGACCATGGGGGAGGGGGAGAGAGGCAAACCATGAGAGACTCTTGAATGCTGAGAACAAACTGAGGACTGATTGGTGTTGGGGGGGGAAGGAGGAGATGGGCATGGAGGAGGGCACTTATGGGGATGAGCACTGGGTGTTATATGGAAACCAACTTGACAATAAACTATTTGTTTACCAAAAAAAGTCATTTGGAAAGGTCCAGGACTTGGGAGACTGAGCTTGACTTGATAATATGGCGGTAAGTTACGGATACTCATGCAGTGTGAGCAATCATTAAAAAAAAAAAAAAAATGACATAATGTAAATTGCGTTAGAGCGGTACAGCTTTCAAGTCACAGGGTTACCAGACCTAGGCTGTTGAGCTCATAATTTCTGAACTTTTATGTTCAAACATAGATATCACATAAAAAGAACTACCATACATAAGTTAGGGTTCTTTCAGAAGAGACATCCAGGAAAAGTATGGAAATCTTATACTCTGAAAAACAGATGAGGGAATTGGGTCTACTTAACCTGCAGAAAAGAGATCTGCTAACGGGTTGTTACGCAGAGGAGAGAGTAGATGTGTTCCGTGCTGCTTTCGAGTTCAGATCTAAACCATCAGGAGGACTATTTCCAAGAGGAAGATTTTGGCTCAGTATAAGAAAGGACAGTTTTGGATATTGGAACTGAACCATAGTGGACAGGACTTTCTGGTGAAGTGTGAGCTACATCACTGGAAGCATTCAATCAGAAAACAATGGCCACCTGTCAGGGTGCTATAAAAGGAAATGATGGAGGGAGGAGGAGCCTGCAGAGAGGTAACATCCAAGGTCTTCTCTAACTTGAAGCTTCTATGTATCTATGTTTACACTCAACTTAAAATGATTGCTCTCTTAGACATGGTTTCTAAAAGAACACATTGTAATTTGATTGGTAAATAAAATAACTTTTCACTGAAGAAATGCATTGCCAAGTAAAGTTGATCCTTTGTTCAGGGTAGCTTTGTTCTATAAAGTCACCAAGCACACTGAATTAGTGACTGCTGAGCCATTGCTTCTAGGGGAAATACAAGATTAGGATCCTGAAAGCCTCTGGTCTCAACATTTTTGGCAATGAGTCAATATATAATTTTGTTTTATCTGTGTTTCTATTTAAAGACCCCTAATTTAATATATACTGTTGATTCTTTAACATGAACTCATGGCCAAAAGTACTATAACTCATGCTAAATTAAGATTATCTAACATATAATCTCTCAAAGGCATATCCCACTTTTCTTAGGGACAGTAGCCAGCACATCAGTATTATCTTAGGGACCATTTTAAACAGCTAAATCACTACCACCGCCATCACCACCACCAATAACGACAAAGCAAAAAACATGGCACTAAATGGACCATGGAAAAGATAACTTGCTTATAGTATGGGAGATGATACAAGAAGGTAGACTGTTGCCTTGTTCAACCTCCATGGGAACATAGACATAGGGCAACCAATTTTTCACTGCTCAGTGCATATCCATAAATGACTGAAAATGCTGAGTATTGATTTTGTTTTTCTTGTGTTCTTAGTGGGTTGGCATCCGGTTTACAGTGTACAGTCTTTGGGACAAATAAATTGAAGCAAGTAGTCAAATTTGCAAACAGAATCTGCGAATAATGAGAATTGACTGTAGTTAAACATTATGAAGAAACTGCCTTCAGTCAAAATCCATTAAAACTGTATGTAAAGTTCATTAAGAGGCAAATCAGTTGAATGCTTTTATGAGGTGAGAGCACCTATAAATGAAAATCGAAGATCCTACATTTAACTTGATGGGACAACAAAGAGCTTACCCCTCAGGAGAATGGTAATATAGCATCATTTGTCAAATTCCTACCAAGTAGCATGTTTCAGGTGAACATTTTATAAACATTATATCATTCTCTTAGGCTCTGACAAATGGGATTTTGTAGAAAAGCTGCAGTAAGTAAGCTACTTAAAATTTTTAGACAAACCCAGGCTTTCTGTGTTATAAAATTGCTTTCTGAAACAAAGATTTGTACACGTCTTAAATGGTTATGTAACTAAGCACTTGAATGTACTGGGAAATACCTATTGGAGTAATTTTGAGAACAATACAGCTTCTGCCACATAACCACTGTAAATAAAAGGAAAGAATACGCATGATTTCCTTCAGCCCTCCACAGGGAGTGATAAATATTTTCAACTGTGGGGATAAAGCAGCTTTCACTATACAAGGTCATTCCCTTCCCATTTGAATTCCAAAATAGACAAGCTATCTGTCACTTGGGGAAGGAGGTAATCACTATCTGTAACTCTAAGTAAACTTGTATGGAAGATTTGTTTACATTGAGCATTCTGAGTACTCAAGTTATCAACTAGTATATGGTTGGATTTAGCATTCCACAATCCTACCTCTCACCTTCTGTTTGACAGATATTTTGCTAGCTAATAGTTGCCGCTACTGGAATCCCCTCCCCTGAAAATATTATAATGCCTAGAGGTCCATGCCCACCTCTGGGGTCTTGACTGAACTCATCACCACCTCTAATAATATCCTAGGTACAGTGTCCTAAAACAAAAATGGCCAGGCCCTCAGGAAGCTTAAGATCCATCTGCCCGCCCTGGGTAGCTCTATCTTTGTGAATGCCCAAGCTAGGCCGCCAGAGGCCTCTTTCCACCCCCTTCCCAACCTCACCCCCATCCCTCTCATACTCAGAGAGGACCCCACATTCAGAAAGACCCATGCTTAGTTTAATACTCTACTGTTGTCGTCTTGAAATTCCTAATATATACTTTTTTTAAATTTTTTTTTTTTTGAGAGAGAGAATGCATATGTGTGTGCATGAGCTGGGGAGGGGCAGAGAGAGAGAGA